TTACTTAGTGTATATAAGCTTTATCTCTGCAACTATGTTAAAAATTTGCAAGGGCAAGGGAAATAGCTAAAATATCTATAAAAATCAGAAAAAGGTGAAAACAATTGGTATTTGTATATCACTTTAAGACAAGCTGATTTTTTTCACATAGTTTCTGTCATTTCCAACTCAAAAAAAATCATGATAGGAAAGGTAGGTATCATTTCTACTAATATTGTTTAATATGAGTTTTCTGAGGCACCTAGAGAAAATGTACTTTTACTGCCTATAGTTCAAAACCCTAATTTGTATCTTCTTTCCCTGGATCCAGAATCCTTCCACTATTTTATATTATTTTCCAACAAACAAATAGGGTAGTAAGCATATGGTTTGTTGCAAGAATTGTAAAATGTCCATTAGTTGTTTGATTTACAGAACCTGGGATAGATTTTTAGAATACACATAATCTTTTCTTCAAAGAGACACACAAATATGTCTTTTCAATGACATCCCTGTCTACAGTATGAGAAATAAAATTTGTACTAATGTAAGAGGCGAGGAGCAAGCTCTTTTTATTCTCTATTTTATTTCCAGACTACTTCAGGGAAGTGTTTTAATATTACTTTAAAAGTTAATTAATACTCGTAAGATAACGCCAGAGTTCATCAGTCCCTATATTAATACCTCCTCTTTTTCCATTTATGTGTGTCACATCACTGACCCCAAAGGTTTGAATGTGTCACCTCAGGCAAATACAAGACCTATGGGAAATAGGTTACYTTTGGAAACTTTTTCTCTTGACCCATTCAAAATTATATTATTTTTTGATAGGCTCTGGGATGCAGCTCTAACTATTACATGTGGTTTCTACTTAGTGGATTCTGTCTCTCCTATCCCTGATATTTTTTCAAGTTAATTATTTATAGTGACATGACAATGAATAAAAAGTTCACAAGGTGAAAAACTGAAAGACTGTTCACAAATAAATGGCCAACCTAACGGTGGGTATGAAATATATGCCTCATGAAGGTACAATACTCTTTGTATTTATTTTTCAAGGTCATAGATAATGGATCTGTACTACTGTAATCATACCAAGGACACATGATATGATAACCCAGGAGAGAAGCAAATGGGTCTGGGCATTGGAGATTGCTCATGTGAAAGGAAAGGTCAGAATACTAATGGATAATTTACTGGATGGTTAAGCTTTCAGAATCAAGGTAGTTCTACACAAATGTATGGGGATTGATTTAGGTTTATTCATCCACCTTTCTGGCAGGTGGGAAGGATACAAGTGCACCAAATCTCTGTTGGTCATCAGCCCTGGATGTGAAAAAGATTCTTGAGTAGATTGTGGCAATGCTCTCCTAAGGAGATTTATTTATTGCTTTAATGTGATCATTGTCACTTTCCTAGTCATATGGGCTAGAAGCTTTCAAAGTCTAGTGGGCCTCAGAATCATCTGGAGAACTGTTACAACACAGAATTTTTTTTTTTTTTCACCAATAGCTCTCTCTCCTTGTCAAAGTTTCCAACTTAATAGATAAGAGTTGGGGCCAGAGAATTATATTTCTAACAACTTTCCAGGAGCTGGTTTGTGAGAAGCATTGGTATAGACAGAAGAGGTATTAGTGTAGCAAATCCTCACATAGGTTTTTATTAAGGTGCAGGGTCTGCTTTAACCTGATTCCAGCTCCTTGCTGGAATTTTAACAATGGTTAAGAGTGCTAAGCATTTTTATTTAAGATCTATTTTTATGAAAGGCAATATTTGAAAATAAATTTTAGAATGAAATCATGCTGCAACCCCTTTAATGTTGACTAGCAACCCCCTTGAGCTCTTCCCCTGTTTGCAACATCTGATCCCAGGGAGACTATATCTTTAATCTTTATTCCATTCTGTRCCTCCTAGTTGCAGTACAAATCCATTATAATAAAAAATAATAAAAAAATAGCTAACTAGTAACTAGCTTAGTCTATCCTTTCCCTTAACCTCTTCAACATTCTTTTAGTAATAGCACAGATTTTAGTTTAATTAGTGTCCATGCTAGATTATTTATATCTGACTCAGTGTATTGTAATTACCCTTTTTGTCTTTTAGTCTCAACAATTGAACTTTTCATTTGCTTATTTTTTATATATTTATCATTAATTCATTTTTAACCTCTTCAGAACTTAACTTTGTTTTCAATATATTCTTTTGAAAAAATAGGAAAGAATAACTTTGACTATCTGCTCCGTTTTTGTTTTTGTTTTTGTGGGTGGTGGATTTTAGTTGTTGTTGTTATTTATTTTCTCAGAGATTTCCTTTCTAGAACCACTTTCCATCCCCCTTGCACAATCAGAACTGGAGGCTTCCAAGTTTGCTGCCTTCATTCCATCTCTCTCTCTCTCTCTCTCTCTCTCTCTCTCTCTCTCTCTCTCTC